CACCATCACACGCGCGCAAGCTGACATGGCAGCTTCCAAACAACACGGCCCTTTACTTCTTTACGCGCAAAGGCGGCTCACTCGCCGCCCGCGGCGGAATCTCATCATACTCAAGCATGGTCCACTCGCCGCGGGCGGGGAGCATATGTTGGAACTCGCGTTTCGCTGCCTGAATCACCTGCCACAAGGCCACAAGAGGATCAGAGACGCTAAAGAAGTGAACCCACCTGGTCAAGATCCCTCTGGAGGCGCGTGTTTCCAACCAAGGTGCGTTGAGCACTTGGTGGTGAGTACGGTGAAACCGATTAACCGATTAACCTGCCAAAGGCAAACAAAGTGAACCCGGCAAAAAAAAGAAAAAACAAACCAAACAAGCACTACATGACGAAAAGTTGACATATTGACGGATGGCAAAGCCCAGCTCGGAGTGGCCAACTCCATGTCATAGTTGTCTGAATCAATCCAATTTATAAACATTGGCGAGGCGAGGAAATCAGCCCGCTTACGGCTCAGGCGCACTACTGCGCGGTGGCGTTCCTCGTTGCCTGCACACGCGTGCAGACAATAAAGAATGCGCCGCAAAATGCAGAGCCCAAGTACTTGGGAATTCAATCCACGCGTATCCCAAGCTCTGGCCATTTACCAGGTTGACGCCCGCCACAAAAACAATTGCATGGGAAATCACTGCAGTTCAAGTCATCTAAACCAAGACCCATGATGATGCTGACGATAGTAAAGGCAGCAAACACTATACGCAGGTTCGCCTGACCAAAACAATATGAGAAGTTTGTTGGACCAAAATGTTACATTTGCACCTCACTCTCTTCCAGGCACAAATTGCGCAGTCGCAAAAACATTCTGCAAACAAAAGCAAAAGGCAACTTGAGGCTAGGGGGAGGAGGTCGAAAGCTAGCCGAATCGCACCGGATGTACTAGTTACATAGTCGGCAAAGCATGTAGTGATTACATGTTTTGGGAGGAAGGTTGCTATGTACATACTTTGCGCTAAAGAATGTAAATGTGACATCACTGACTGGGAAGGGTACATTGGAACAACCCGGGTGCACTCGTTGGCAGGCACGAAGATGCGTGATCGGCAAATCTGGGGGGTAAATTTACCCTCCGCTTTTGTATGCCTTGTGCCGGAAAGAGGGGTAAGCATTTCTGGCATCACAAGGACTGTGCATGCACTAGGGCGTCCGTAGTGTAGGATAAGCGCTGGTAAAAGGCATGAGGAATAGAGTGTCTTGAGGAAATAGCCGGTGTATGGTTATAGCAAGCCTGGGGGGTAAATCTACCACCCGCATATGTATGCATTACGTAAATAGGCGTAAACAACTTGTAACGGTGAAGTACAAGTCCTATGCAGCAAGCAGCAGCCAGCAGCAGCAGCAGCAGCAGCCGCCTGCAGCCAGCAGCCAGCAGCAACCACCAACCAGAAGCCAGCCAGCAGCACCACGCAGCAGCAGCGCAGCACCAAGCCGCAGCAGCAGCAGCACCACCGGCAGCAAGCAGCAAGCAGCAGCAGCAAGCAGCAGCAGCAGCGGCGTCGTCAGCAACAGCAGCAGCAGCACCAAGCCGCAACAAGTAGCAAAGCAGCAGCTACAAAAGCGGCAACCAGCGGCAGCAGCAAACAGCAGCAGCAAGCAGCAGAGCGGCAGCAGCAGCACCGTTTACACCAAGCCACCGGTTACCCCCCCCCTTAGTGTGATATATCAAGCTTTAAGGCACACAGCTCATCCCACTACCAATTGAGCAAAGAAGAACTCAGCTAGCGTGCTAGCTTTCGTGGAAACAAACAATACAAGAGTCGCTGCGAATCAAGCGGCGATGAAAACACCTGGAAAGTTCCTTCTTGGCTTTGAGGATCAAACTGCATCAAACTGATTCAAATTGAGGGGTTGTGGATTGCGGGCCCCCCTTTTCCTTGTCATGCATCTCTGTTGGCCTGAAATCACTGAAATCTGGTGCGCAAATTCTGCGCAAACAACGATATACAGCCACTATGCTGAAAAGATCGAGAATCTTTCACCCGCAAACGTGAAACACATCTTGCAGCGCGGGTCAAGATTTCAACACGTGAAACTGAAACGCTCAGATTCAGTTTTTCCACGCTTCGAAGCAGGGTCAATGGGATCTTCCACAAAAACATTGCACAAGTCTATGAAATATCTTGGGTCCTTCAGACATGTGATTGTGAAACCAGTGCAGATATTCCTTGGGATCTTCCTAAACACCTTGCAGCCCATGATTTCGGAAAATCTAGAAGGCATTTTTTCTTTCGCAACTTTTGTGTGTGAGGGGTCAACCATGTGCTCCCAATCATACCAAAGTTCACCTCATCCTCACTTTCGCTCCGTTAGAATCCTTCCAGGGCAAATGGTCTTTTGCGCCAAGCCACAGGTATTCACACTGGAACCTAGAATTATGGCTAGGTGGTTTTTGGAAACTTCTTGTACGACTCCGAACCCCACACAGGGAACTTCTAATTCTTTACAGATCTGTCAGTGAGGCTACTGGAAAGCTGACAGAAGCACAACGCATTCGATTCAATGTCCAAACACCAGGCTTTGCTTAGCGCAGAGCTGGCTGGACAACCTGCCGGACTGGCTGGTTGGCCAGGGCGTCGCCGCAAGGTCATTGTCGAAGTCGAGACATGTCCGCTGCCATGCATTATAATGCCTGCATTTCCGTGAAATTGGTGAGTTCGGTGAAGAGCAGAGAGAGAGAGACACAGAGAGACAGAGAGAGAGAGAGAGAGGCAGAGAGAGAGAGAGAGAGAGACAGAGAGACAGAGAGACAGACAGACAGACAGACAGACAGACAGATCCCGACACGGTCTCAAAGAAAGAGAGAGAGGGAGAGAGAGATAGAGAGAGACAGAGACAGAGCCAGAGAGAGAGAGAGAGAGACAGACTGACAGACAGACAGAAAGAAAGATAGAAAGCAAGAAAGAAAGAAAGAAAGACAAACAGAAAGAAAGACAGAAAGAGAGAAACAAACAGAGAGAACGAGAGAGAAAGAGCGACAGAAACAAAAGGCGATAGAACGAGAGGGAGAAAGGCATGGAGGGACAGAGACATAGAACGGGAAAGAGAAAAAGAGACCCTAAGAAAGCCACTGAGAAAGAGAAAGAGAGAGAGAGAGCGAAGGCTCTCCCGACCTTCGGTGTATCTTGCATACACCCGGGCGGTCAACCCCCTTCCACATTGAAGGATGTTGCCGGGATGCCCGACGTCCCGACCCCCGTCGCCTCATGTCTTTTGCCTCCATCCCCTCCACCGTCCTACTTTTGCCCTGCGTTGGGCCGGCGCCCGGCTGTCAGGCGTAAGCTTTAAAATCCGGCCAGGGGCTCAGGAGCCCCTTTGGCCGTGTCCTTGCCGTACGGCATTCTCTCCTCGCCGTAGGAGAGAGGCGCTGCCGCTCCCGCCGCCAACCAAGAAAAAGCGGTGTTTTTGGCTTCTTTAAATTTTCTGCTCTTGTGGCTCAAGATTGATCAACATGGCCGAACATACCCCCAAGCGTGGTGCCCGTGGTGCGAGTTGCGCCGGCCGAGGCGGGGCATTATCAGCATCTTCTGCGTTGGCTTTTGCGACGTCCCCTTTCCAACAAGAGCCAAAACAGTAGCCAAAACCAGAACGACAACCACAACACCACCAACAACAACAACAACAACAACAACAACCAACAACCACAACAACAACAACAACCACAACCACAACTACAACCACAACTACAAACACCACAACCGCAAACACAACCGCCACGACAGCAACAGCAACAACAGCAACGCTAACGCGACCCGAGCCCACAACATCCACCACAACCACAACACCGACCCGCACCACCCTTCTTTCTTTCCCTTCCCCCTCCCCTTTGGTTGGGCCAATGCGCTTGTGTTTTTTTGACAACTTGATTTTGCCTTGACTACTTACTCGTTTCCAGACTTGTTTGTGGCGGCAGAGATGAGACGAGCAATGCTCGAACTTGCACTGACTCCTTGTGGGCCTGAGTCGTGAGGGCTTTATAGTGCGAATGATGCTGAGCGTCCGTGAAGGAGTCAAGAAGTTCACCCTGGCCGGCTGTCGGGCGTAAGCCCTTAAATCCGGCCAGGGGCCAGGAGCCGCGTCGGCCGTGTCCTTGCCGTACGGCATTCTCTCCTCTCCGTAGGAGAGAGGCGCTTCCGCCCCCGCCACCGACCAGGCAAAAGCTATGCGTTTTACGGTGTTTTTGGCTTTTCTAATTTTTCTGCTATTGTGGCTCAAGATTAGTCAGCGTGGCCCAACATACCCCAAGCGTGGTGCCCGTGGTGCGAGTCGTGCCGGCCGAGGCGGGTCGCATTATCAGCATCTTCTGCGTTTGCTTTTGCGACATCCCCTTTCCAACAAGAGCCAAAACCAAAACGACACCAGAGAAACTGCAAAACGAAAGCCAGCGTTTTTACTTTCGAGTGCGCTTTCTCAGGCCACCCCCCGACCCCCCCTTCTTACTCAGCTGGCGCCTTGCCAGCTATAGATTCCCAGGGTAGCTACAATGCAGTTGCCAGGTATAGTACTTCCAGTTCCCTTTCCGTCAACCGCTCAATAACCTTTACACATGCACAGCAAACCACAGCTTTGAAGTCTCATTCGTGCTTTGAACTTATATAGGTGTGTAAGAGGTATAGCAACATAGATTTATACGGACCCAGGGTAACTACAATTCTGTTCTCAGGTATCGCGCGCATGCGACTTCAAAGCTGCGGATTGCTGTGCGTGTGCAAAGGTTATCGAGCGGTTGATGGAAAGGGAACTTGAAGTACTATACCTGGTAACTGCACTATAGCTACCCTGGGTATCTATACCTGGCAAGGTGCCAACTACACCTTACCACTCAGATGATGCAAATGATGCAAATTGCATTTCTTGCATCACCACCCCTCAAAAATCACCTCCAACACAACCTCAAAAAACCTTCCATCCGTCCACCCTCCTCCCCCAGCATGCGCCGAGTTTACGTGTACCTTTTGCGGGCCACCCCCCACTACTACCCACTTCGTTCGCCAGCGTAACTCAGCTGGCGCCTTCTACGAAGGCTGGCTTTCATAAACCACAACACCACCCAAAACGACAACAACCACAACCACAACGACAACCGCAACGACGACCGCAACGACAACCACAACAACTACGACAACAGCAGCAACAACAGCAGCACTAACGCGACCCTAATCCCAACATCCACCGCAACCACAACACCGACCCGCATCGCCCTTCTCTTTCTTTCCCTTCCCCCTCCCCTTTGGTTGGGCCCCTGGCTGGCTGCCGGGCGTAAGCCCTAAAATCCGTCGCCCGGAGGGCCTTCGGTTGTAACCGAAAGTTAATAGGCTGACCGCCCCTGCCGCGGACCCACCTCAGGTTCACCTCAGGTTCACCTCCGACCCACGTAATTTATAATGTTTTGTGTGTGTGTGAGGTACAAAAAACACTGTGTTTTACAGGGTTTTGCGCACGTGCAAGATGCGCAAGATGCAACGCGGCGAAGATGGAGAAATGCAAAATCCGTATGTTTTCCAAGGGTGGTGTCGGTAATGCGCGCCGCGCGGACGTGCGTAATCGGCATTTTTTGAGCGCTGGGCGCGCACCAACATCAATGGCGGAAAATGTGCCGCGCGATGACCTGACAGAGGCCCCCAAGATGACCCAACATAGGTCCCAGATATGCCCAACATAGCCCCAAGATGGGCCAACATAGCCTCAGACTGCGCCAACATAGGCCCCAGACGGCATCAACCAGAAGAGAAAGAGCACGGAAACTATGTGCTTTACGGTGTTTGCGGGGTTGGGGGTTGCGGAAAGAAATGCCTGGAGTAGACATGTCCGAGAACCATGTGCTTTACAGAGTTTTCGGGGTTGCAGACAGAAGCGTGTAGATTGAACCTGTGCGAAAACCATGTGTTTTACAGTGTCTGCGGGGCTGCGACTGGATTGAACGTGTGCGAAAGCCATGTGTTTTACGGTGTTTTCGGGTTTGCGGCGAGAAGCGTCCGGGCTAGACTGCTAGACATGTTGGAGCATCAACCTCTACATGACAGTCCGCCTCCTTCTCGTGGAGGATGCTGCCGGGGTCTCCCACCCGTTTCCTCCCTAACCCTTCGTCCCTGCCCCGGCCGGCGCCCAGCTGTCAGGCGTAAGCCTCTAAACCCGGCCAGGGCCCGTCACCGGGCCTGGGGGTGGTAGATTAAAATTTTCGTGGTGGGCAAATGGTCACGAAATGCAAAAACCATATGTTTTCCAAGTGTGGTGTCGGTAATGCGCGCCACGCGGACAGGCATAATTGCCGTTTTTGGAGGGTGGGCCCGCGTCAACATAAAAGGCGGACAATGTGCCCCAAGATGACCTGACAGAGGCCCCCAAGATATGCCCAACATAGCCCCAAGATGGGCCAACATAGCCTCAAGCTGCGGCAACATAGGCATCGACGTGGGCTCAACTTGGGCCCAAGATAGGCCAACATAGGCCCAAGATAGGGTCAACATGGCCCAACATAGGCCCTAGCTGAGCCAACATAGGCCTTAGATGGCCCAAGCTTGACAGAGAAAGAGAGAGAGCAAAAACGAGACGAAAAAGAGAGAGAGAGAGTGAGAGAGAGAGAGAGAGGGAAGGAAGGAAAGAAAGAAAGAGAAAAACAGACGGAGAGAGAGCGATAGAAACAAAAGGCGAGAGAGAGAGAGAGAGAGAGAGGGAGAGAGAAAAAACAAGAGAGAGGGAAAGAGAGGGAGAAAGGCAAAGACATAGAACGGGAAAGAGAAAAAGAGACCCTATAAGAAAGCCAGCGAGAAAAAGAAAGAGAGAGAGCGAAGGCTCTCCCGACCTTCGGCGTATCTTACATACACCCGGGCGGTCAGCCCCCTTCCACATTGAAGGATGTTGCCGGGATGCCCGACGTCCCGACCCCCGTCGCCTCATGTCTTTTCCCTTCTACCTGCCAGGCGTAAGCCTTTAAATCCGGGCGCCGGCCCCAGGGCCAGCCCGCGCGTCGCCCGGAGGGCCTTCGGTTGTAACCGAAGGTTATAAGGGCTTACGCCCGACAGCCGGCCAGGGGCGTCAAGTCAGGGGGCTGGGGGGCGAAAGCCGCGGTCGTGGTTGTGGCTGTTGTTGCATCATATATGACAAGCTGGGCCAACATAGCCCAAGATAGCGCCAAGATGGGCCAACATAGTCGAGCCAACATAGGCTCAACATGGGCCCAACATAGCCCCAAGATGGGCCAAGATAACGCCAAGATGGGGCAACGCAGTGCCAGCATCGGCCAAACATCCGCCCACGATGCAGATGAAGCACCCCGGTGCGGCACGCATTTCCAGCATTATTTTGGCCTATGTTGGGCTATGTTGACCCATCGTGAGCAACAAGCGCGGAAAAAACCATCAAAAACCCATGCGTTTCTGGGGCCCCGACCTGGGGGCGGCTACGCTTTCTGCTTCGCGGAAGGAGAAGTGCCTTACCGGCAGGACACGGCCAACGGGGCTTCTCGCCCCTGGCCGGACAGGGCTGACGCCCCCCTGCCGGCGACCCACCTCCGACCCACCTCAGGTCGTGTGTTTTGAAGTGTTTTTGTGTGGGTGAGGTACAACATACACTGTGTTTTACACGGTTTTGCGCGCGTGGAAAATGCCACGCGGCGAAGATGGAGAAATGCAAAGCCCTATGTTTTCCTAGGGTGGTGTCGGTAACGCGCGCCGCGCGGACAGGCGGAATCGGCATTTTGTGGGCGCTGGGCGCGCGCCAACATCAATGGCGGAACATGTGCCCCAAGATGACCTGACAGAGGCCCTAAAGATGACCCAACATAGGTCCCAGATATGGCACGCATAGCCGCAAGATGACCCTACATAGGTCCCAGATATGGGAAACATAGCCCCAAGATGGGCCAAGATAGTCTCAAGATGTGGCAACATAGGCCCCACACGGTCTCAACGTGGGACGTCGCCAAGATAACCACCGCAACCACGATGCTGCGTCCGTGTCTACACAGAAATGGCGCGACATGTGTCCGCCGGTGACCGAACCACAGACACGAGGACGACCACCAACTTCCATGCCCAGCTTCCATGCCAGCTTGGTATGGCAGCATGCGACGGCTCTCCCGACTGCGGCCTGCGGTTGCAAGCCAGGGCAGCCAGCCCCCTCCAGGTTTGGAGGATGCTGCCGGGATGCCCTCCAGGTCGACCTCGTCGGCGGACACCATTTCCTGCGCGTCATTCGTCCACGGTTCGGCATGTCGACGTGGTCCGTGCAACAAGGACAGAAACAAATCAAACAGAGAGAGCGCCAAGGACAGAAACAAATCAAACCAAGAGAGCGCAAGAGGGAGAGCGGGAACAAGACGTGCAAGGAGAGACATAGAACGGGAGAGAGCAAGAGAGAGAGAGAGAGAGAGAGAGAGAGTTCGGTATATCTTACATAAAGCCGGGCGGTCAGCCCCCTTCCACCTTAAAGGATGCTGCCGGACGCCCGAAGTCCCGACCCCCGTCTTACACAGGGGGGGCGGATCGGTCCCCCACCGACTACAGGCAGGTTTGCTTCTCCTAACCGTCACAGCACTGCTATGAACAACACGCAAGGCGCAAATGTTCTGACACAGAAGCCTGGAAGTAATGACACGTACACTGGTGTTGGCAGGACATGTTAGAGAGAGAGAGAGAGACGGCTCTCCCGACCTTTGGTGATCCCCCTTCCACATTGAAAGCTGCTGCCGGGATGCCCGACTTCCCGGCCCCCGTCTCCTCGTGTCTTTTGCGTCTATCTCTTCTACCCTCCTACTTTTTTCCTGTTTTTGGCCGGCGCCCGGCTGTCAGGTGTAAGCCTTTAAATTATGTTTAGCGCAAAAATCGTATATATTTAATACTAGCATAAAATTATAGATCTATTTTCTCTATATTCTGTTTTGATTCATTAAAATATCAATATGTTTGAATTTATTGTATATAGAGTTCGTTTCTATTCCCACCCTATATGGGATAATTAATATACAACAAGATCTAATAAGTATTTTTTAATTGTATCTTAAAAGGAGTTTAGATCATATTAATGGACATCTATATATGAAATTCCTGATCCCCGTCCCCATCACCACCTGTTGCTGCCATATAACTCCACCGCCGTCACCTTCCCCAGCCCATGTGGGTTCTCTTTCTCAAAAAATGTTTATATTGCAACATTGCATAAATTAGAGTTTAGAAGGCAAGCAACTGCAAAAAGGATCAACATAATTGATGATGTAACTAACGATTATATCTGTTGCGCCTGTATATATGCAAATATGTTTTGAGGTATTGGTCTATATCGATACATTATCTTCTTAGATGGAATGATGATCTTTTTATTAATCTTGTGGACACTGCATTCATTGCGCCTATCTAACAGTTGCATACGATACCTTAGGTATAGTCCTTCGAAGTGAAATGCACGGGTGGCAAGATCACTTTGAGTTTCTGAGATTTCTACGCGCGGCTCGTGGTCGAAGCGCGACTGCGGGCGGCAGCACAGAAGCCGTGAAATGGATCTCTATAAGACAACGTTGCGCGAAAAAGCTCCTAGTAGCGTCCTTGCATGCCAGGAGCCCCTAGTAGCTTCTTGCTACTGGTAGCATCGATGCCAGTTAGTTGCTTTCACTTGTTGCAAGTACTTTGAACATGTCCCACCTCTTCTTGTGCAGGCAGTTCACTCAAGCAAGCCCTGACAAACAGCTGGATTGGATGGTATGATTTTGTTGGCGGGTCTGAAGCGGCCTTTGAGTATGCCCGTGAATTTGCCTTGGCACAGTGAGGTCAAGCTTCCCTAAAAATCTCGAGAACCCTCAGGTGGAGCAAAGCTTCCTTGAAGAAGCCTTGGCCCTTCTGTGTCAAGTACTGGCTTCCTGTTTCTAGCTACTACTTACCGTATGGCCGACCCCCGCTCCATAACAAGATTACAACAAAACCATAAAAGCATGACCACCAGAATAGCATATACTAGCTACAGCTACTACAGCAAGTATCTTTAGCTTCTCCGATGATGGTCAATGGGCCCAGACTGCCAACTATATATAGTCATCTGGAGTCTGGAGCGCCGGCAGCGCTTGAGGGCAGTCTCTGGAAGAAAAATGTTTTCGTTTGATTTCCATTGTTCTTGTATGTCCTGAGAACTTGGTGTCCATTGTCTCTGGATCTGATGAAAACACATCTGCAAGTTTCATGCACATGAGTTCATGTACTTGTGCCACGTCGGCGTGTATCCAGATCGACCGATCGTTGGCCCTTTCGCTCGAATCACTTATTGCCCACAGAGGGTGGGCGTCGACCACGAAGCCTATGCCTGGTTGAAAAAGGGCTTCGAGTGCCTCTTGCTACTTGGAAACTTCGAGAGTTCCTTGGTTTGATGGCTGTTGGATACACCTCACTACTCCTTGCATTGCAAACTACATTGGTAGCGGAGCCAAGGCTCCACGGCTCGCTACCAGCGCGACTCCAACCACCACTATTTCATCTTCACCTTCACTACAACATAAGGAACGACTTTGACCAGATCTTCCCGCTCTTCAGGCCTACGACCGTCCAACTTGCTTGCCTTCACCGGTGGCACGAGCGGGACAACATTCTCTTCTATTTGCACCTGGTTGCATATCACGAAGTGATCCTTTTGGTGCATGCGAGAACGGTTGGTCATGGCACAACCCTCAGAGAAGAAAGAAAAGGAGACTGGAGAGACTACATCCCGCTCTTTGACGGCACGGCCTCCGGGTACAAAGAATGGGGGAAAAGAGTGACCGCCTACTTCCGCAAAATGGCGCCAAGGTGAAGCAGTTCTCAACCTCTTGGGCAGTTTAACTGGAACTGCCTGGAAGTTGGTCGAAGATTTTGACCTGGACACCGCTGAAGACCCAGACAGTTTCCAGAAGCTGTTGTCCTTGCTGGATGCATCAGAATGATGCACAGACAGTGCTGCCCCCGACTTCGCCAGCTACTTTGAGTACCCTGGCAGACGCAGTGGACAAACATTGCTCCAGTACATCAGAAAAACATGGAGTCAGCTAGCCAAGTGAAGTGCAAGGCTGGCGCATCTTGGCGAAAGCTAATTTATTTGTCAAGAGAACAAAAACAAATGGCGATGACACAAGCTGCCTCGCTGGAGCGGAAGAAGATTCAAGCTGCGATCTTTGCCATCCTCGGCCAGGACTACAAGACCACCTTGAGTCAAGGCCTGTGGGATCGACGCCGCACTGCAGCTCGGTCCGGAAAAGGCCGTGGATACTACACCTCTGAACAGCCTGTTGATGAAGGCTACTGGATGAACGATATCGGGGAGAAGTGCGAGGACATTGGCTTTGAGCATGATGACACCTACGAGGATGTTCAATTCCATGAGGATGACAACATGGAAGATTGGGGCTATGATGAGTCTGACGCCGAACAAGGATACCACCAACATGAGGACCTACGACATTGAGGAGTATGACACCGCAGTCGCGACCTACATGGACGGAAGACGCAGATTCCAAGACTCGAAGCTGAGTCGTGGATACCTTCCAGTGGTCGCCCTGCAAGACTCGCCTTCTTCCATCTTCTTCCTATTTACTTCCTACAACAAGGGCAACGAGCGAAATCTGCGTTGGCACCTCCATTGCGGCGCTCTTGGCAACTGCCCTCAGCCTCCCAGTGCGAAGCCTACGGCATCCACTGCAAGTGGAGGCCCGTCCAAGACAGGCCACTACAGTTGAATCCATGGCTCAAGAATATGATGGATCCCTGGAAGACGGCATGGTGATCTTCGAGGACTTGTCAGCCATGACAAGACCAGACTGCGCGATGATCGACCCAGGAGCAAGCACTCTGCTTCTTGGAATGGGCCCTTGAAGCGCTACATCGAGCGCCTTCGCAGTCTTGGTTTTGACGACGACGACGACAACCAACTGATTTTCAACAAGGTCAACAGGACCTTCCACTTTGCTAGACAATCAAATTATCTGCACTTGGTCCGTGAAGCTCCCTGTCTACATCGACTACAAGTTTGGTTACACCCAAAGGGAGAAACCCCTGTTCTGCCTGGGACGACCAATTGCAGAGCCTTTGGGACTGTGCGTAGACTTTGCACCGCAGACCCTTCGCTTCCAAGACAGCGAATGGGAACCGGCCACCCTTGGAAGACATGGTGAATATCTTCTACCTCTCACTGCCACCTTCACTGAGGAACAGTTGAACATGGAGCCGGACTTTGACCTTGTTGTGGAAGCTGATGCTGGTCCACGCAAGAGCTTCAAGGACTTCTGCACTGAGGTCGCCTTCCATGTTGAGGACCATGACATCATCCAAGGTGAGCGACCCTGTTCGGAAAAGCGGTGGAAAGGCCTACATCATGCACTCCAAGAGAAAACCAACGAGTTGCACGCCATGGTGACTCATGCTCTCCACACTGAAAAGCCTCAGAAACGCATCTTATGGGAGAACTGTGTCGCTGCAGTTGCTGAAGCGTTGAACATGGAGACCCGACTCTTTGGCTATCGCACTGGCTGGAACTTCAACCTCAAGGAGCACCGCGTGGCCTTCGTCCAGCTAATAGATGAGATCCTGTTCATGCCTACTTGTGGACCATGGAGTCCAACTCTGATGAGCAACGGCAACGGCTCAGACACTGGCATCACGACACCCACTTGAAGTTCGTGAAGCAAGGCTATCTTTGACAACCACGAGATGGACGGCGTGCCCACAATGAGCAGCCGACTCACGCCTTGTCATGGCAAGCCACGGCCTTGCGATCACTTCCAGGACACTTTCATCAGCGCGCATATGGTGCTCTCTGTTGTGACGATGATGGACGACGGCGACCAGTCAAGAAGGCAACTACCATCTTGACCACGAAGAATGCTGTGGCCCAGGTGAGGAGCCGACTGCGCGACAACACCCGCGAACATTGTAATTTAGACGGATCTATGCCGGGATGGTGAGTGAAGCGCGCAGTGTTCATGGAGAACTTTCAGCCCACCATGGCTGCCGTGCTCGCAACCGCATATTGGCCGCTCCTGAGCTCACGCATCTTTGTGACTGTGCCCTGGCTGTGAATGAAGAACAGGTTCCTGAAGGAAGCTGCGCCAAAATGAGCTTGACCACTGTCGAGAATAAGGTGGATGCCCTGCGACGGGTCCAACGACTTCACCGAAACCTTGGACACCCTATACCACCAAGCCATTGTGACTATATACCCAAACCAGAGGCGCCAACTGGACTGTGCGTCGCAATATCAGTGCGCCGCACGTCAGCGGTACAAGTGCCCCAATGCAGTTGCTCCTGCCACGATCTCCACTACCACCACATTCAACCAACTCGTGCAAGCCGACGTGATGTGGGCGAAGAGCAACCCCAAAAAGTTCCCTATTCTCTCCATCATCGACACTGCCACCAAGTACCAGGCGGCAACAGTGCTCCATGGAGGCATCCCGCCACCAAGTACTGGCGGAACGTCCAGAAGAGCTCGAGCATTGGTGCTCTCAGCATCATGGTGTTCGCCCTGTTGGAGTTCCAGCTTGTAGATCTCCAGGGTGTCCATAAGCTCCTTCTTTTCATTGTTAGGGCCACTTTGGTGTCAATCAGCTCTTGGAGAGCCTTGGCCATGTCGGTGTCGGTGTCCAACCATTTCTGTTTCCATTTCTCTGCCTCTTCAGCGAGGCTGGCGATGTTCGCCTGCATTGCCAGCTGTTGTAGTCTGCCGGCGCGCTTGCCGTACCGGTGGCCTAGAATCGTGCCAAAGAGCATGAACAAAGCGGCCAGCATGTACAGAATGTACCAACCCATGGAACTGATGAAGACATTGTCAACAAGCTTCAAGCCCGTGTCATTCACAAGGACTTCATTGGCATCGCCGTAGTAGGCCACTAGCGCTGTTTCACCCAACGCTGTCTTGTTCAAGGTGAAGGCCATCATGCCGAATAGGATTCGCTGCACATACTTTGGCGTTGCCGTAGGTCTGGTCGTTGTCAATGTATACACTCCTCTTCGTCGTCCATCAATTCATCATCCGGTTTGTGTTGTGTGTTGTTGGTTGACTGTTGTGTGGATTGATTCTGTTGTAGTGACAGCGGGGGAATGCTTTGAGAAAATCTAGTCTGCTTGCCTCTCGATCTTTGGCTGTCTTCTTCTTGGCAGCCACGTAGTCCGTAGTTAGTAGAACGGTTTGACTGTCACCACGTATCAGGTGAATGACAGTGTGAGCTGCTAGCTGAATCTAGCAGTGCTGCGCGGCATCAGCTCGCGTCTTCCGTGCTGTAGGCGATCAGCAAGCAGGCTCCTTGTTTGGCTTTTCGTCAAGCCGTCTGCGAATTGCCTTTCGCTAGAGATCCAGCGAAGCTCACCATGCAGGGACATGATCTGCTCCTTCATGACTCTGATTTCCCGAGATGTCCTTCGGTCAACTGAAGTCGAGCTGGAACAGCCTTCCTTGTGGGAGCTGTCAGACAGCGCTTTTGCGTCGGTGATGAGAATCGGCTTCGCCACTGTTCCACCATGTAGGATTTCACGAAGGCTCTTCTGAGGGTTCAGGAGGCTTGTGCTTCTGCTGATAAGGAGCTCCGGGCAACACGATGACGTGGTAGCTGAGCTCTTTTCCACAAGCATCCTGGTGGATGAGGAGCGTGAGATGGCCGCCTTGCGAAGTGCCGTCGGGCCGTACTCCATGCGCTGCATCGAACATGGTGATCAGTCGCAGTTCGCTGAGGTCCTTCATGTCTATTGGGGCATAGTTCAGCTTGATGTCAGCATTCTGCTTTGCGAACCCCAGCAATGAAGCAATGAGTTTGCATCAACGATTGCTTGCATTTTGTTTTGCGACATCTTTCCAGAAACCAAACTGCAACTGCATTGAAGGTGTGGAGCAGTTTGGATGGCGGGCCACTGCATCGATCCAAGCAACGCTCTGAGTTGACTGCGGTCCTGATCAGTCATCTCTTCTTCAGGAATTCTGTTTCTGTGGATGGTCACAGGTTTCACCTTGTGGATGTATGACTCTTGGCTCACGGTCCAGGCGTAGTTCTTTCTGCTGAGGACTGTGCCACAATAGGTGATCTCTTTGCTGTCATCGTCCCAGGTCCTGAAGTTAAAGGCTTCCTTCAGTTTCACCTCGGCTTCTGGTTGGACATGTTGCGTCACCAGCGCCCAACATGTCATCAACATGTAGGCATAGCATGCCACATATCTGTGAGTTTGGTGCTTCAAGAATTGGATGGTGTAGTGTGAATACACAAGGATCCATTTGATTCTGCGCCCAATTGAGTCCTTCGAGACGCTTGCGCGCTTCAAGGAACCATCTTCTGGGAGCGTCCAATTGACCGTAGACTTCATCCTCGTCTCTGGTCCGCATCCCAAGATTTGCAGGGCCTTCTGGCGGCAGCTTCAGCCAGAGTCGTCGTTCTTGAGGAAGACCTTGGAGAAAAGCGGCGCTTACGTCCGCTGACCCGCCTGAGAGCCTGGTAGAGCGCCGACAGCGACAAAAGCCATGTTCGACAGACAGGGACAGACAGACAGACAGACAGAGACAGACAGACAGACAGACAGAAATAGAGACAGACAGACACAGACAGACAGGACAGGACAGGACAGGACAGGACAGAACAGAACAGAACAGAACAGAACAGCACAGCTCAGGACAGGACAGGACAGGACAGACAGACAGAGAGAGAGAGAGACAGAGAGAGAGAGAGAGAGAGAGAGACACCGACAGACAGACAGAGAGAGAGAGAGAGAGATAGAGAGAGAGGAGAGAGAGAGAGAGAGAGAGAGAGAGAGGCAGACAGAGAGAGAGAGAGAGAGAGAGACGGACCGACCGACCGACCGACCGACAGACAGGCCAAGTCGACTGGCTGTCGGGGAAGCTGTCTCCAAGTCGCCGGCCAAGGCATCAGCGTCTAATAGCCTCCTTGCCTTGGCTCTTGGCGAGCTATCGCTGTTCTTGGTCCATTTCAGGAGGATGCGACAGGTGAGAGTGCGATTGGGATCTGCTTCAGAGGTTGTTGAGAACTCCCAAACACCATTCTCAAAGAAGGACTTGCGCTCCTTGCACTTGGCTTCATAGAAAGCCATCTTGCCCTCGAGGTTCATGCGCTTCTCTGACAAGCGCTGATCGTCATTCCACGCCAGATGATTGCATCGGTGCCGTCGTTGGTGGACATGTTGCCGGCGGATGAGACAACCAGACTTGATCTCCCAATTGTCCTTGACATTCTCGGTGAGGTCGAATGTCTTTGTCTTCTGGTTGAACGTCCATCCCTTGGGAAGCTTGTCAGGCTGAATGTCTTCGTCGTTGAAGGCAAATGAAGTCAAATCCTCGGTGGTTGCATGTGGTCCTGCAGTCGAAGATGGATGTGGTCTTTGATCGAGGTCCGAGGGAAATTGTTTCCTGCCGATTAAAGCGCTGCCGTCGCTGTTCGAAAGTCTCACCTGGAGGTGCAGTGAAGTGTGATGCAGTCACTGGATCCAGTGGTGTCTTGGCTGGTGTCGGAGGATGTTCTGGTTCTTGAACTGGTTCAGGTTCTTCAGAGCCTCCATCACTTTCTGGTATGTGGAAGAGCCTCGTTCTGCCGATTAGTCGTGACCGCCTCCTCCGCGGTACGAGCAATCGGTGGACCCGATTCCACACCCGGTTCCTCCTTGGAGAGTGGGGCGACGCCACGACTTTTGAGGTTCTGGAGGGCTGTTGAGTTCCTGCAGGTCATCCAACATGGTGTTGTCGATCTTGCCGTTGATCTCTGGTCGTACGTGATGCGGTGCGCATCGGATCAGTTGTCTTGTGCACGAGCCAGCAGATGTTTGGCGGTTGCTGTTCATTGAGTTCTCGCATCACGACAAGTGCTGGGCACTGATCTTGATCAAGTCAGCTTGGCCAGCATCACGCCAGCAATGACAGTGTTGTCCAACAAAAAAAAGGTCGGTTTTGGCCAGCGTAGCGTCTGAGGAGAGCTCGGCGTAGTTTCCGGTCGGCGCCAGCTTCCATGAGAGCAGTGCGAGCAGCATGCCATGGACTTGCCAATGCCCGCAACGTGGAGAACAAGCGACCTTGCGTGTGGCGCGCTGTGGTACCACCTCCCTCCCAAGAGGTCAATGGCCTGGCCTCACGAGAACTACGCTGCTGCAAGACCTTAGAGATCACATGAACACTTATACGGCCAAACCAGCTACGAAAGTGTGATTGTGGGTTGACTTGTTCCACGAATGTTTTCACTTCCCTTTCTCCTGCGCAAGTTTCACGCGCATGAGTTCATGTACTTCTGCCACATCGGCGTGTATCCAGATCGACCGATCGTTGGCCCTTTCGCTCGAATCACTTGTTGCCCACAGAGGGTGGGCGTCGACCACGAAGCCTAAGGGCTTCGAGTGCCTTTTGCTGCTTGGAAACTTCGAGAGTTCCTTGGTTTGCTTGCTGTTGGTTACACCTAATGCACTACTCCTTTTGCAAGCTACAACATCTTAAATGTTCCAACCTTTCTTTGCATCGAAGACCTGGCACATCCTGGAACCAACCACAGTCTGCGTGGCAAGGAGCGGATGATGAGAGCTTCGTCCTTGGACGCGCCGAACAGCCAACACAGCAGGTGGAAGTGCGAGCATCGAGCCAAGATACACTGAACGGCTAGGTGGGCCTGAACAAGGTGAGAGCCAAGTTTGTCAAAACATGAACAAGGTCACCAAGATGATGTATCAATGCTTGGTAGCAAACCCAGGGTGGCTGGTGGTTCGTCCGGTGGTCTGATATTGCGGTCCTCCTCAGTCTGGCTCCGTGGCAAATGCTTTCCGTGTCAAATGCTCAAAATGAGATGCGCACCTCATGCATCCTGAGCACAAACGTCATTGCAATCTTCAATTACTGCATCAACTCTAATCAACCCCTTCAAAATTCTTAACGCAAGATGCGCATTGGACATTCGCAAATCCAACTGCCTCTCATCCTCCTCCTTGATGGAAGGCCAATCGCCTGACAGCGTTGAGGACAAAGCCATGAATTTCAACCGACTCGTGTTACTTCTATCTTCGAGGTCGAAGCAAACTTCCGCCTTCTCGACCTGCGCAGCTCCTCAGACTTCTCAATCGCCGTGCTGCCTCCATTGCAACTATATACTTTTTTAGTTGTTCATTAGTTATAACTAACTTACCCTAGAAGAAGTCAGTTATATCTTAGTTACAACTTGAAGTTATAACTAAGTTATAACTTATTTATAAGTTCCATAAGTAGTTCATAACTTACTTATAACTAAGAACTAACTACCTTCTTTTTTAAAAACGGATGCCTTTTCCTTCCGCGTGCGAACACAGATATCTCAGCAGAATGCTCTATGACACGCCTCCGCTTCAGTGAATACAGTCGATACCGCTCAGATGTGTCCATGATGCAAAGGACAAGCAACACCGTATAGCGGCGCGCGCGCACGGTTGGAGCCGCTGAAAAGAATTGAAGAAAACAGTTTGGTTGATGACAGCCGGCCGACAAAGAGCCGACGCTACAACTCGGGTGTGTGTGTGTGTGTGTCACGTATACGTATGTGTGGGGGGCCGACACGCAGCCGACGCGGGATGACACGGCGAACGGCAACGATATTCTGACGTGGGGCCGACAAAGGGCCGACAAGGGTAAACTCACACGGGTATATAACAACGGAGCGGCTCAGATGTGTCCAACCTGCCGCCGTCAAGAAACATCAAGAAACTATCGAAGCGCGTGTAGTCCTGCTGCTGCCTTCGTGTCTTTGCCCTTGTCTCCGCAACGGTCGACATGCCTCAAACCTATATTTCAGGCACACTTGAACCAAAATCTGCGCAATGTGTTTTTTTGGTGAAACATAGTTTTGTAACTACGAATAACTAGAAATAACTTTGTATAACTAAGACCTAACTAAGTTATAACTTCCACCTAACTACACCCGGTTTACTTATAACTTACTTACGTCTAACGTGTTCTGTCCTTACTAAGTTATAACTTTATGTTAAGTTCCTTAAGTATAACTATAGTTATACATACTTATCCTAATACAAGTTCTGTTATCGAAATACAAGTTTGCTTGTAGTTCTCTAACTAAAGTTTTAACTTACTTATAATTAAAAATATATATAGAAGGGACCGCGTGACGCAGTAGTTCAGGGCCAAGACTGCGCTTGTCCAATCGCTTCGAAATGGCGGCGTGGGGTCAAGAATAGCAATCGCCTCCAACCTAGAAGCGACGTCCTACCTAATTGCAAGGGCCTCCCAACCTAATGATGGCCTCCACGATGGCCTCCAACCTACTAGCGATGGCCTCCAATCTAATTACCAGCGATGGCCTCCAACCTAGTAGCGGTGGCCTTCAACCTAATAGCGATGGCCTCCAAACCCATAGCGATGGCCCCCAACCTAATAACGAGTGCCTCCAACCTAGAAGCGATGGCCTCCAACCTAGAAGCGGTCGCCTCCAACCTAGAATGGGTGTCCTCCAACCTGGAAAATATGGCCGTCAACCTAGAAGCGATGGCCTCCAACCCACTAGGGATCGCCTCCAACCTAATAGCGACCCAACCTACTGGTGATGGCCTCCGGACCTAACAGCGATGGCCTCCAACCTAATAGCGATGAGCGATGGCCTCCAACCTAATAGCGATGGCCTCCAACGTAATAGGGATGGCCTCCCATACGAGTTGGTCAGTTGGTTCTTCCGCCTCTTCCACTTGTTTGGTGGCATCGCCAGGGCCTTCGAAAGCGCCTGAATATCATGACAGGGAAGATCAATCATCCACTGTGATCTGTGTTCCACTATGATCCACTCATGCAGCATCCACCGATAGCGAAAGCATGCGACAGCTAGATTGCAAGCGCTTCTTATGCTCAAGTCTCACGGATTTCCATGGTGTTCCTTGCCTGTATCCTCTCGGCGTTCATCTTCGACATTCCTCCAAGTTGGCAGAATATCTCTTTACCCTTCACTCGCCCCTTTCCTGACCCTCTCACAACAGGCCTCAAACTTGGTGACCCTGGTGAGGTGTTGCCTTGGCTTCAGATCTCCCTCAGTCCAAATATAGAAGGCAGGGCTAAGCATCGGGCTCAAAGCGCTGTTGCTGTGCCGCAGAGCTAATCTCCCTGCTGAAGAAGGCTACGCAACGACGCGTTGCAAGAAACAAACCAACCTCAATGTGGCTGTGAGGTTGATCTGATCAGCCTGAAGGTGAAGGTGGTGATGGCGGCGACTTTGGAGATGGGCTCTGAGGTGGTCGTGGCCTAATTAGCGATGCGATGGCGGCTGGTGTCACCAAGGCGAGGCTATGCGCTGTCGGTTGCTTATTTATTGCTGCTGCGGTCTCATCGTCCAGGGCCTTTCGTTGCACTCTGAGCCTTGTGCGGAGCAATCCGAGACCTCCGGCCTTACAAAATGACGAACACCGCCCAGGCAACTTATTAAACAAAATGCATCTTTTGGCAAAGCCTAAGCCAACATTCTCTGAGCATCTGCGCATTCAAAAATGCCTGCAGTAGAGAGAACGTCTTGCCTGACAAGCCGCAATGAAGGCAAGCTAGCTGCAACAAACGGCTATAATTTGTAGGTGTGGCAAAAGGTCTACGAACCCGTGCCTCGTGAGTTCACTTTTAGCTGGGTTTGTCCTCAGCCCCACAGCGGTCAAACATGACATCGGGACGGTTTAAAACTGCATTCGGGAGAAACCTGATCTTTTTGCACTCGACATGACATAGCAGCATGGAATCATGCACACTACTAAAGACCCTCTTTTGGCTGAAAACTACCTGCGCACTCGGTGCAGGTTATGAGCCCAAGGCTTTTTTCGATCACCACCTGAGACTGCAGGGTGTGCAGCTCAGTTGTTGGCTCCCATGGAAACGAAGCCGTTCTGGAGCGAAAGCCTTCGACAGCAGGTGGAGGAGCTGATGAACGCGCGACCGTCGACTCTCGTACCACAGACAGACCTGCCTGTGGTTCCGGATGACTCCAAGGAGACAAGCCTAATGAGATCCGAAGAGTTGCGAGAGGAACGGGGTTGGAGTGAGACGAAACAACAAGGGCCTCGGTACGATGCCTGGTTGCAGCGACGGGGGAGGTCGCGTGAAAGTCGAGGGAAAAGAGAAGGTGAGCCAGCCGCGGACATCTCCCCTCACCACTTCCACCGACCCAGGAACCTCAGGCAAAGAAGGAGGGTGGAACAGTGGATGACGGACGGGATGACCTTCGGGCAGTCGCAGTTGTGTCGCCAAAACTACCAGAAGAAGGTTCCCATCAAGTTCCACTTCGTTGTGGGGACTATAGGACGTTTCAACTGGCACTAGGAGGCGGTGGTCGGACCTCATGGGTGAAGTGGGGGAAACATACAAGAGGTGGTTGGCCTCCGACCCTTTGACGTTAAGCTTACCGTTGACATTCCAACTCGACCGAATTCCTCGAGGTCATTAGAAGGCCGTGTGACAAGCCTTCTATAGCATCGCTGCCCCAGTCGCTCAAGTCGGAGATCATTGCATCGAGGAAGCTGACAGGATGCGCAATCATGCTGGAGATCCTGAAGCGATTTGAGCCTGGAGCAGGACTCACAGAGAAGGCGGCACTGCTGAAAGCATTGACATCACCTACAACGGCATCAACGCTGCGGAGCTTCGTCTCTGGGCTCGAAATGCTGGCCAGGCGAAGGAATTGGGGGGTAGCACTTCCTGACCCAGTTCTACAGGTGGGGGCGCTGGACTCCATATGCCGCGTCATCCTCAGCAAAGAACCTCAGGCCAACTTTAAGGTGCAAACATGGAGGCACGTGACGATGCAGCAAGAGACCGTCAACCAGTTCTCACATCTCTTGCAGTCGGAGATGCAAACCCTGGCGCTGTCCACTGAGAAAAAGGAGTCGGCGGATGCGAAAGTGAAACAGATTCAGTCAAGCCCCGAAAAGGGACAGGTGAAGCCTGCATGTAGGCATTGGTGCGCCAACACTGAATGCTTTCGTGCAGACAAGTGCAAGTTCGCTCACAGCTGGACGGATGTGGCTGACAAGGCATCAAGATGTTGGCTGTGCTCAAGTCATGAACAGCGCAAGGCAGATTGCCCAGCGGCGGAGAAGACCGAGAAGACCCTGAAGGCCCCGGATAAGACCTCCAACGATGGCAAGAAGGACCAGAGAAGGGCAAGGGCAAAGGCAAGAACACATCCAGTTCTCAACTCTTAAGGCTGATGCCAATGTTGGTGAACAAGGAGGTAAATCCACTACAAACACAGCCCAGCTGCTGGCGCATCTGGGCGGAGTGGTGTTGGCACCGTGACCCAAAGTTTGAGTTCGGCATCGCGTCAAACGGAGGAAGGGAGTGAAAAGCCCTTGTTAGATCAAGGAGCAGCCAAGAGCGGGGGAGCAGAGAATCTCAGGGTGAGGTTGCCTCGCTGCTGCGGTCATTGAGGGTGGAAAAACCGGCAATCAGGGCGCTGGTGGCGAAGGTGTCCACAGAGGGTTGCGGTATCCTGCTGGATTCAGGAGCTACGCACATCCTCAGAGCACCCAAGACTGAGGATGAATGGAGCAGTGTTTGGACACGCGGTGGGAGACAGCACTGCGTCAGACGCTCAGTGAAGTATCCCCAATCGTGCCACTTGGAGAGGTAGTGAAGCATGGTGGAACGATCAGCTGGAAGCCCGGCCGTTGCAAGATGAGGCATCCCACATTGGGTGTGATGGACATTGCTGTGATCTCGAACTGCCCCTACCTTTCAGAGCGAGATGGACGAGCCTTGATGGACTATATCGAGGAAAAGAATGTCAAACTGGACACCATGGGGATGAACTTCAGCTGGTTCCTTCGGCGGATTGGCATGGGGGGTGCGTGGTGGAAGAGCAAATCACGGAGGTCCAAAGATCAAGGCTTTGGCCGCTGCTGAGCCGGAGCGATCGAATGATGATGATTGGACCATCATCAAGGGTGCACTGGTGATCCTCTTGGCAGCACTGCTGTTTGCACGGCGACATGCAGAGTCGCAACTGGCGGACGCTGTTGCAGCTGCAGCAGTGCTCACGATCGTAGGAGTGACGCTGGTGAGAGAAGTACAAAAAAGATGGGACAGGGAAGGTAAACCGTTCCAGGGGACATGGCTCCAAAGGCCACGAGTTGCGGCGACGTGAGGTCCCAACATGAACCCATGTCGTCGAAAGAAGAAAGAAAAAGATCGGAGCTGACCAAGAAGACAGGAAGGGCCCAGAAAGAATGAACCTCCTGCAAGGGACCCCACTCTGAATCGGCGCATAGCCTGGAAGGCTCCCAACTGAAGACCCAATGTGGTCACGCGAACGCGAAGCCCCCGTGGCATGTGCATTGTGGGCCCCGACATACCCACGGGCGAGGCCGGCGGATTTTTGGTGGCATCCTATCACCATCCGCCCATCGGAAGTGCGGACAGGTGGCAAGTGATCGAAGGGTACGTGGTGCGTATCCATTTCCGCTTGAGGTACCAGTTCTGCCACCCGCTGCACAGCAGCTATCCCCCCAAGATCGCCAAGTAATGGTGAAACACCATGCAGGCCGCCCGTTTGAGGACAATTGGATTGAGCCGCGGGCACGGGAAGAGCGACGACAACAAAATTGAAGGCCGATGGATGGGCTACACCTTCTTTGAGATCCCTGATCCAAAGCGAGGAACATCGGTGCCATCATACTATGTGGGACAACGACCTGAAGGTATCAAGATGACCCAGAAGCACCTGAGCACCTATAGGTCTCCCACCAGAGATGACGGTCATCAGGCCCCACTACAGCGACCACTGCGTCAGCGGCATCAAGTTCGACAGGGGTTGCACGACCACCTGGACTGGGATCGAAGAGTGATGGGAAGCAGCAGCCGAAAAGGATTGCAAAAGCGCCGCCTCCCATACCGGCGGCAGAGAGATGGGAGAACGCTCCCGAGGGCCTGAGGTTGGCGCTCGAGGCGCTGTCGGAGTCCAATATGGACTGGGATGCTCCCCCGTAGCAAGCTCTTTCGTCGAAATGGCCTGATGAGAAGGGCTATGGAACTGAAAGGTGGCCAGAGGAGGAAGTCCCACGTTTGTCACTGACACTGACGGTGGGAACAACACCAGCTGGTGGTGCAGCACCGCCAGGAGTACCTTGCTATGTGGCCACCCCAGCACCAGCTCGGGAGTCAAGCGAAAGCGGGACATTGTCGTCTACCATGCCCACATCTACCACCAACTACTCGACCCCGAATTCTACCCTTGCGCAGCATGGAAGCCAGCAGAGCGACCAGTCAGTGTTGCCACCCAACCCAAGGACTGGCAGGATTGCGCTGGGACGGTCTTCCTGGCGCAACAGTGGAACATGGAGATCCACCGCCTTTGAACGCAGAGGCACCGGCATTGCAAACTCCATGCCCCACGTTTGACATGGCAGCGGATGATCGAAGCTCGCTCAATGACTGGGACGTTGGTTTAAAGGCGTGTGAGGATGACGGCTTCGGAGTCAGGTGCATCGTACGATGAACATGATGGATACGACCCGTGAGCCGCATGAAGGTTTTGAGCCTGTGCCACAAGGCACACTTGATTTTGTAGAATGAACCCGTGTGAAGGGAAGAAGATCCTGGACTGAGTACGCCCCACACGTGGTTTGAACGGTGTTCAAAGGCGGAGCGCATTCGGGAGAAACCTGATCCTTTTGCACTCGACATGACATAGCAGCATGGAAACATGCACACTACTGAAGACCCTCTTAGGCTGAAAAGTACATGTGCACTTTGCGGTACAAAAACAATACAATCGGAAACCCCAAACAAATCTGCACAGCAATTGCTCAGGCAGGCTCAATGCCCGCAGCTGCTCCCCGTAGTCTTCCATCCTCGCCACGAGTTCTTTTACCAGGTGACACCAGATTTCATGCCACAACTCTGCGTCTCTACAAGTTTAAGCCACCGCAGGATGCCAAGCTCCGTGCTCAACATCGAGCCTAAGGAGATAGGAGACCAGCATAGATCAGGCGACTGAGTAGTTTGGTGGTGGCTCAAACCTTCGGTCCGAGCCCGGCCCCTGCGGCCCCTGGCTGCTTGATCTTCTTCTCATTTTCTGCTGCAGTCCTTGGAGGACCCGCGCTGGGACTCGGAGGCCAATAGCTTCGAGTGCACTCTCAAATGCCCAAGCACCTTTAACCCGATGCGAGGAACCAAAAAACCATGCTGCCGCCATTTAAGGGTGAGGAGGGATCAAAAAAGTAAAGATGAAGCAAAACATATAGTTCAGGGGATCAAGAAAAAGTAAACGTGAATCAAAAACATAAACGGACTCAAACGCGCGAAGGGGAGCGCAATATTCCAACTCGAAGCAGTGACCAAAATTAAAATATAAGCGCATCAAAAAACAAACAGTAAATCAAACTATATTTAAATACAAAAACTCTTATATATGTGTATATGACACAGTCTACTTCAGCCTTGAATACTGCAACCTTTCTCTGTTACCTGACCTCGGGAGCACAAGGCGTTTTGTTGTCATATTTACTACTTTTTGCTTTCCAGATGCCTTCAGCATTCTCATTTCAATCAATCTATCTATCTACCTATCTCAGATCCTATCTCACTCTCTCTCTCTCGCGCGCGCACAGTCGACTTCAGCCTTGAATACTGCAACCAAGTGGTCCTTGTTGTGCTGTGTAATGGACTAAATAAAAAGAATACTGAACACATGACAACAATTGCCACTGCAGGCAGCACAGCTCCGCAAGCTGGCCACCTACAGGCAGCACAGAAGCCAACCGAAAGCCAAAACCACCAAAAGCCAAGAGCCACCGAAAGCGAACCTTCCTTCCTTCCTTACTTTCTGGCTTTGTTCCTTTTTTTTGATGCATTTATTTTTCTTGTTGCATTTTAGTGTTTTCTTGATGTTTTTCCCCAGATAGCGGAGCTATGGGGTTCTTACTTCAATGAGTTGCCCGTGCGTGCTTTCGAGACAGGTTGCTGGCGCTGGCGCTGGCTGCCGGCGCTGTGACGGTGCTGGTGCTGGGCGCCGTCTCCCGGTGTTGTTGCTGGTGCTGTGAGCTGGCTATCCGGCACTGTCATCTAGCAGTGCGCGTGGTGGAGGTTGGGCGCCGGCTGTGCACGTGGTGGAGACAGGGTGCCGGGCGCTGGGCGCCGGTGCTGGGTACCGGTGCTGGGTGCTGGTGCTGGGCGCCGTGAGCTGGCGTGCCGTGCTCGGTGCTGGTGCCCGCTTCTGACAGTGAAGTGAAAACAACCGCCGCTTCTGACAGTGAAGGGTGACAAACTACCGCTTGTAGCAGTGAAGGGCGACCAACAGCGGAAGTGCCAGCAGTCATGGGCCGCATGAGCTTACTACGCGCGCAACATCATGCGGTGTATCGCTTGAGCGTTCTTCGTCTATTGGCGCTGTGGGGTATTTGTTCTGTTTTGGCCGACAGCTGTGTCAAGCGCTGTACTGTTTGCACGCATACTTTTGTACGTATAATGTTCTATGCGCAACGTCAGGCTCTCAACCGAACATTGCATGCCACACACACAATAGTCGTGCTCGATACTGCTTGGCCTTGGGCGAGTGAAGCCTACGGGCTTTGCCGTTTGCGCGCATACTTTTGCGCGCGTAAACTTATATGCGCAAGATCATACGGCCTTATATAGTTCTACAGACCGTTGCTTCAAGCATGCTACAAAGTCAATATAAAAGTGGCGCAATGACACTTACGGGCTTTGCTGTTTGCGCGCATACGCGCGCATAAACTTATACGCGCAAAGATCATACGTTGTTACTCACCAAATAGGGATAGCTATGGGGTTCTTACTGCAAATAAGAATGAGCTGCGCGCGCTTTCGAAAGGGTGTCGGCGCTGGTGCTGGTGTTGTGGTCCTGCGCGCTGGTGCTGTGAGCTGGCTGAGCGCGTGTTTAAGACGGGCGGCAGCGCTGGTCGGGCGCTGGCGCCGCTGCCGGTGTTGTCAGCTGGCAAAGCGCACCGGCGCTGGTGTCAGCTGGTTGTGCGCGCTGTGGAGGCGCCGTAAGGTGGCTGTGCAGGCTGCCTACATTCTTGTTCCAGCCAGTCGCATGTCAACAGGTCGTGGGATTCTGCCTAGCTATCTGGGTCTAGGCTGGTGTAATTCCCGAAAGCATTGCGAAGGGTTCTTCCGGAAAAATCTCTTGAACCTGACACTTCTACACTTACACTTGAACACTGGCACTTCTACACTCACACTTGAACACTTACGCTTCTACACTTACACTTGAACAAACTCTTACACAATGGCACAATGGCACAGAAGTATCGAAGTTTGTAAGTGTGAGTATCCCAGTGTAAGTGTAATAGCATCCAAGTGCAAGTATGCAAGTGTAAGTATCCAAGTGCAAGCATGTGTAAGTATCAGTGCAAGTATGCAAATATGAGTATCCCAGTGCAAATATGCAAGTTTGAGTATTGAAAACTTTATTGGGAGATGTCCCAATGAAAAACATTTCCCCGCTTTATAAATTCTCTTTAAAGGCGGAGGGTGGGACGAACAGCGTCAACCGAAAATGCAACCCTCTGCGGAGATCGTGCGCGTCCAGGGAACGAAATGCAGGCGAGAGTGAGACTTGTCCGGTGCGCGCGCAACCCTCTGCGGAGATCGTGCGTGTCGAGTGCGCGAAATGCAGGCAAGAGTGCGATTTGTCCGGTCCGAGCGCAACCCTCTGCGGAGATCGTGCGGGTCGAGCGCACGAAACGCAGGCGAGAATGGCGAGAGTGCGACTTGTCCGGTTAACCCTCTGCGGAGATCGTGCGTGTCGAGTGAACGAAGTGCAGGCGAGAGTACAATTTGTCCGGTCCGCGCGCAACCCTCTGCGGAGATGGCGCGCGCGAAACGCAGGCGAGAGTGCGATTTGCCCCATGGCGCGCGCAACCCTCTGCGGAGATCGTGCGTGTGCAGGGCGCGAAATGCAGGCGAGAGTGCGCTTTGTCCCACGAGCGCGCAACCCTCTGCGGAGATCGTGCGTGTCGAGTGCGCGAAATGCAGGCGAGAGTGCGATTTGTCTCAACCTGTCCCACGCGCGCGCAATCGGATGAGAGCTGGCGATGGCGTAGGAGCTGGAAGATGACAACTGGCGACTTGATAGTACAACTGGAGTGCGCGGAGTATCTGGCGAGCTGGAAGAGGAGAACTGGCGACTTTGTAGTGCAACTATAGTATGCGGAGCACCTGGGGAGTTGGAAGATGAGAACTAGTGACTTGGTAGTGCAACTTTAGTACGCGGAGTAGCTGGGAAGCTGGAAGATGAGAGTTGGCGACTTCGTAGTACAACTGTACTAGGCGGAGTCGCGGAGTAGCTGGGGAGCTGGAAGATGAGAGCTGGCGACTTCGTAGTACAACTGTACTAGGCGGAGTCGCGGAGTATCTGGGGAGCTGGAAGATGAGAACTGGCGACGTTGTAGTACAACTTTCGAAAAACGGAGTCTCTGGGGAGCTGGAAGATGAGAACTGGCGACTTGGTCGGACAACTGTAGTGCGCGGAGTATCTGGGGAGCTGGAAGATGAGAACTGCCGACTTGGTAGTACAACTTGAGGACGCGGGGTATCTGCGGAGAAGCAAGATGAGAACTGGCGAGTGGATAGTAGCACGAACCCTATAGGCGGAGTATGTGGGGAGCGTGAAGATGAGAAGTGGTGACTGGGTAGTACAACTCGAGTACGCGGAATAGCTGGGGAGCTGAAAGATGAGAACTGGCGACTGTGCGGTACAACTTTAGTACGCGGAGTAGCTGGGGATGACCCACAAGGGTAAGACGGCGTGTCGCTTCAGAGAGGACTGATTCGTGGTCGCGGAGTATCTAGCTGGGGAGCTGGAAGATGCGAACTGGCGACGTTGTAGTACAACTTTAGTCGGCGGAGTCTCTGGGGAGCTGGAAGATGAGAACTGGCGACTTGGTAGAGGGGAAATGTAGTACGCGGAGTATGTGGGGAGCTGGAAGATGAGAACTGGCGAGTGGATAGTAGCGCCAACCACATACGCGGAGTATGTGGGGAGCGGCAAGATGAGAAGTAGGGACTGGGTAGTACAACTCCAGGACGCGGAATAGCTGGGGAGCTGGAAGATGAGAACTGGCGACTGTGTGGTGCAACTTTAGTACGAAGAGCTGTGTGCTTTACTATTTCCCTTTACCAGCAGCTCAAATGCTCTCGAAGATGAGCTGAGCTGTCACCGCTTGGCCGCCGGTGGGGGGGTTGGGAGGCCTGCGCGCTACTTGGTTCACTATATCTACAGTGAAGAACTTCACCATTTCCCCTTACCAGCAGCAGACATAGACACACACACACACAAACAGGGACTCATACACACACAGACATAGAAACACACACAGAGACCCACACACTGCCTCAACTCACTCGACTCAACACTTCACACTGAACACTTAACACATAACTCACACTCTGACTTCATACGTGGTGAAAAATGCTTTCGGGCCACTCGTCGTCTAGTTTTTTTGATGCGTCTCCCATACAAGATTGGGCCCCAAGTAGCCAAGTCCCTGAATTATTTTGTCTTCCGGGGGTTGGAAACGTTTCTTCTCTCAAATGATGGTTGTATTCTCTATCCTGTCAGGCGAGCGTTGTGAGACTTTTACAGATAGCCTTGTTCTCCTTTTCTTCTGCCCCGGGCCTCTACCGCAAGTGCCAGATCGCAGTGGGCAGTGCTGGGCCCCAACCGCAAGTCCCAGATCGCAGTGGGCACTACCGGGCCCCAACCGCTCGCGCCAGTGGGCAGTTTCGGACCTCAACACACAACACACACAACCACAAATCACAATCACAAACACACAGTGACAAACACACCATCACAAACACACAGCCAGACATAAACACAACAATATAGTTACCGCCTGTGTGTGTGGCATTTTGCATGGCAGGTGGTCACAGGTAGATGCCAACTGGAGGCACCCCGACTCGAACTCCCTAACATTAAAACAACAATCCCAAACCCGAGGACCCACAAGCAAAATCGAAAACCACAAAACCCACGACCATGGCAACCACAAAACCCATCGCCTCAGCTACATGTCTTCTTGGACAGGTTTTTTGCACTTTGGGCTGGGCGGTCGGCAATTAGTTCGACTTTTGCACTTTGGGCGCTGCTTCCAACAGCACGGTCTTGGCGACAGTGCCCACAAGCTGCTGCAGGGTGGGGTGCGGTTGGTGGGCTTCGACTCCATGTGAAGCTCTTAAAGAAAATCAAACCCAAGTCACGTGCAAGCTTGCTGGTTGTTCTAACCCCCCTGTGTCATGAACCTGAACAAACCTCAAATACGGGCTGAGGCAAGCCTGAGAGTGCTTTTGCCCGAGTCGCTCGAAACGTCTAGATGGAGAAATGTGGCTCTTATTGCAGCAAAACTGCGAATGAGGACTGCAATGTTCAATGAACATGAAGGTGGCCATTCCTTCTAGGTTGGAGGCCATCGCTACTAGGGTGGAGGCCATCGATAGTAGGTTGGTGCTCAATTATACAGAAGCCTTAAACCACTGTGAAGGCCCCCAAAACTGAAGGGACCACGTCAAAGCCATACGCAACTCTCACACTGGCGGCGAGAATGCAGTAACCCTTGTTCTTTTTCTCCAGTGTTTGATTGTCTACCACCCATTTGGTCCCTTTGAGACTTTCGCTTAGCTTGTGCAAGAATCCTTAGACTCTGACTTCCTTCAAAACCCTGGAACCAAAACATTGCCCGAAACAGTTCTTCAGGTGATAGTCAAACTTGAATTTATGAATAGTTTAGGGGGCTGGAACACCATAAAAAACGATTCTGATTCGTCTGATTACTACTGCTACCATCACGACTACTACTGCTGCTGCTACTGCTGGTGCTACCACTGCGGCGACTGTCAATTACTACTACAACCACCACCACCACCACCACCACCACCACCACCACCACCACCACCACCCGCTGGTTCCCACCACCGCCATAGCACAAAAAAAAGCTCTGAGACCCCGGCTTGAAAGGATTCCAAGGCAGAGGTGCATCGTCTGGAAGTGATGATATGGCCTAGACGCGGGGCGGGCGCGTGGCATTCAGAGTCGGATGATGTCCATGACCACCCGGCTGCCCCTGGCTGAGCAGTTGGCAGCATCTCGGTAGGATGGTAACTTTCCGTACCTTAGATCACGCAAAGGGAATCTGGGCTATGCATGGCCCGGATGACAAGGCCTCAATTCTATCAATGGTATGATTTCCATGCTAGTGACACACTGAATCACAATGAGCACTTCTGACCTACAGGCTATTCCGCTTCAGTGGATGCAATATGATGCTATGAGGCGGCCACCCCGAATAGCGAATGTTGTCCAGCAAAACATCCACAGTGGCTGCGGCAATGCCATCGCGCATAGCTCTTGTAATTTGATGTTTCCGGTACCTCATATGAAGCATTGTGAAGCAAATATAAAGCACATGCTTGATGGTGATGATTCATTGCTGATGAGGTCTGATCGCTTCTAGGTTGGAGGGCATCGCTATTAAGTTTTGTGCAATCGCTATTGGGTTGGAGCCCATTGCTATTAGGTTGGAGGCTAACGCTTCTAGGTTGGAGGCCATCGCTATTTGGTTGGAGGCCATGCATTCTAGGTTGGAGGCCATCGATATTAGATCGGAGGCTATCGGTAGTAGGTTGGCGGCCACCGCTAGTAGGTTGGAGCCCTTCTAGCAGTAAGTCAGCCATGAGGGCCCCACCCAATGGCAATGGCTTCATCCAGCAAGCGCTTCCTCTCCTTTCTGCAGTTGTTTCTCAGTTGTTGGAATTGACAAATGTCAGAAGCCTCTTGTAGAAAAACTGGCAAGTTGTCTTCTTCCCTCTTGCTGCGCCTAGGTGCGAATCCGAGCTGACTCAAGACAACTATTTGTGGCAAAGAAGTGGTCATGCCCACTGGCCCACAGGTCATGCATGCTACAGATGGAAAACACAAAATGCAACAACATTAAAAGTTCACACCTCAACGCCAACATGCCGGCAATGCTTCGGGGCGTCTTCTTCAGATGTTGACGATAACTCCATCTGTTGACGCAAGTCCAACTTTAAAGACCAAACAACTGAGCTATGCCAATGTCGCTGTTCGTGCCCTGCCTGGTGTTCTTGAAGAACCTCCTCGTCTTCTTGCAACGCAGCATTGGGCAGGCTCCTTACCCATTGCCACCAAAAGAAAGCATCAACAAAATGCCAGAAGGAGGGCATAGCCACAAGGTTCAAACTTGGAGGCTAAGGCTAGTGCAATCGTGAAGAAGCTACCGCGCTTTCGTCACCTGTACAACACTGAAGGAACATTATATTATGTCATGAGCGGCTTGATGTCTAGATTTAGACTGTCTTTTCAATTTACAGTAAGCCTTGAGACAAGCTGACTCATCACAAGCACTCATTACTCATTGATTAAATCCTGTAAATTCGCAATTGAGTAAGTTGCTATGCTGCAAAGGGATGCCATAAGCCCTTGGCCATCGGTACTGGGAACATTGGCACTCGCCGCACTTATTGCACTCATGCGGCTGGATGCTCTCATAAGGGAGCGATTCCTCAAGTGACAATGGTTGATCCTTTTTTTCAATGGATGCTTCCAAAAGCAGTAAGGCTGCGGCCCCGAGCCTGTGGTGTCCTGAACGTGTCATAGCATGTTTCGAAGGAAGGCAACTGCTTTCGTGAACAAACCTGCCTTAGACGCACCATCTTCGCGCACACCCCTGAGTCATGATTGCTCAGGACTAAACGATCCAATAATTCAATACTCCATGCAGCGTGGGTTACTTTTACCATCATTTACCCTAAGCTTGCCTTTTAGATCTTTGTGCCAAGCCAAGCCACTTTGATGCCAAAACCTTCTCACGTGTTTTCCGATCTTCCGTCCTCTGCTTTGCAGCCAACAGCTCCTGCTCCCAGGCAATGTGGTAGTGACGTTAGGATTTTTGGTTCAGCTCGTGGTTGACTCCTCATCCAATCTAATGCTATCACACGCAAACAAACCCGTCGTCGCTTTGTTCTAAGGCATCGGTTTGGAGGGCCATCACTTCCCGGTTCTTTGGCAAATTCTTAAGATTGAAGGCGGCTCATGACTTCTGCTCTCCTGTTTTTAACGCTTGGCGCTTGCTCATATAGTGATTGTGTTGGATTGTCGTTTTGTGAGCCTATCAGGAAGGGCCCATCATTTCTCTGGTTGGGATGGTCGAATGTGTTTGGGCAGTCATGCTAAGGCTGGCACCAACTTAGCAGCTTTGGGTAATGGAGTCGGAAGCCTGAAAAGGCGGCCAGTGTGGACATCGTCAAAACACATGTGAGAGATGAGAGGTCATTGAAAACTCATGACAACTCTCACAGCTTTTGCCATAGATGTGCTACCTTCTCACTTAGTGTTTCTGACACGACATCTTGTGACCTGTTCCATCCATTTCCTAAGCTATGGGCAGTTCTCCAAACTTGTTCTCGAAGCGTTCCAAACCTTGCGGACCAATCGGACCATAGGTAACCCATGGTAACCATGTTGTTCTGTTCCTTTTCTTTTACCAAGATGGAGGTCGGCCGTAAGCGGCCAAATGACTAGGCTAGGACGCAGAAGGGCTCAGGCTTCTTCAAGGACGGGGGGGAGTTTCCTTGAAGAAGCCTGAGCCTTAATGATTTGGTTCAACTTGGTTCCGTTTTTGGAAAGAATGGGTGGAAATGTTTGCTGTATGTTTTTTCCGGATTTGTTCGGACATTTCACAGGAAAAACTTATGTTTGGAAATTGGCAAATGCATTGACAAAAGGGCGAATCAGGCCTCGAGGCTTCACCCCAAGCATTCGGTAGTACCTTGGACCAGTGGCGGCCAGGAACCGTTGGAAGGACAACAAAAGGGAAGAACTCGGAGCTATTAGGTTGAAGGCCATTGCTATTAGGTTTAAAGAGGCCCTTTCCTTCGTTTTTCTTCTTGCTACAGCATTGATAGATTCCTTGTCTCTCTGGCTCACAGCACAATCTCACGTGGCAGATCCTCGGCATCACAGAGAAGGACCTATATACGTACAACGTTGCATCTGGCACACACACACACACACGTCACCCGTCACACGTGTCAGATGTGTCACACATTTGCAATGCCGCTTGGGCCATGTCTGCGAGTGTTGCTTGAACAAGCCCCTCTGGGTCGCTCTCGTACCTTGCCAATCCATGTGAGACCCGTCGCACGAGAAAAATCGTCCAGTGGGGGGAAACGCACATCTGCAGACCTTCTTTTTGGGGGTCGCCCTGCTGCGATCGTCTATACTGTTGACACTCTGCTTTGAAGGTCTGAAAGTAGAGCCGATCCAAGCGCCGCAATCTCTTGGCATAACTCAGAAGCAATCGATCTGCGTGGTTTCGCAGCCTGGACTGGTGAAAGCTATTCGATTCCATTGGGAGCAAACTTCACGATTCCCTTTAAACAAAATTTGAATAGACTGAATTCTGGGACCGCTACTAGGGGCTCCTGGCCCTACTACTAGGAGCACGGACGCTAATAGGCTCCTGGCCATACTGCTAGGAACAGGGACGCTAGTACGGGTTCCTGGCCATACTACTAGGAACAAATGACGCCACTAGGGGCTCCCGGCCTTACTACTAGGAGTAAGCATGCTACTAGGGGCCATACTACTAGGAACAAGGACGCTACTAGGGGCTCCTGACCATACTGCTAGGAGCAAGGATGCTACTAGGGGCTCCTGGCCTCACTCCTAGGAGCAAGGACGCTACTACTACTAGGAGCAAGGACGCTACTAGGGGCCCCTGGGCACACTACACACTACTAGGGGCTCCTGGCCATACTACTAGGAGCAAGGACGCTAGGAGCTCCTGGCCATACTACTAGGAGCAAGGCTCCTGGCCAATACTACTATGACCAAGGACATACCAAGGACAGGGGCTCCTGGCCATAGTACTAGGAGCAAGGACGCTACGAAGGACGCTAGGAAGGACGCTACTAGGGGATCCTTGCCTTACTAGGGGCCCCTGGCCATACTGCTAGGAGCAAGGACGCTACCAGGTGCTCCTAGGGGCTCCTGGCCATAGTACTAGGAGCAAGGCCGCTACTAGAGGCTTCTGGCCATACTACTAGGAGCAAGGACGCTACTAGGAGCTCCTGGCCATACTACTAGGAGCAAGGACGCCACTAGGGGCTCCTGGCCAATACTACTACGACCAAGGACAATAGTAGGGGCTCCTGGCCATACTACTAGGAGCAAGGACGCTACGAAGGACGCTACTTGGGGCTCCTGGCCATACTACGGAGGAAGGACGCTGCTAGGGGATCCTGCCCATACTACTAAGCTAGGGGCCCCTGGCCATACTACTAGGAGCAGGGACGCTACTAGGCTCCTGGCCATACTACTAGGAGCAAGGCCGCTACCTCTACTAGGAGCAAGGACGCTTCTAGGGGGCTTGCCTGGCCTTACTACTAGGAGCAAGGACGCTACTAGGGGCTCCTGGCCTTACTACTAGGGGCAAGGACGCTACTAGGGGCTCCTGGCCTTACTACTAGTAACAAGAAGCTACTAGGTGAAGTTGCCTGATGCTGTTTTCTGATGCGCATGAGGTGTGGAGCAACGTGGAGCTGTGGCGTGGGCATAATACATATACTGAATCTCATAATACATATACGCACCATTTTCCCAACCGCACGTCGAACAGGCTCAAGGCCTGGGTTTGAACCGTAAAGGTCCACGGGATGTACCGATTCGATACAACCGCAAAGGCTGAACATGGAACATCTGCTGTCATGCTCTAGGAACTTCACAATACACAGGCATATATTACATTAGGGATGGAATTCACGACTTCACCTCTTCGGACCGACAAGACCGATGGCCTGAACTCTTCGCCCATCGGCTTGGACAGGCGGACGGGGTTGAAGCGAAATGGCGCTGGATCATCTCCTTTCTCTCCAAAGTTGTGGTGTGACACGAAGGGTATCCTTGACACCTCGGCCGGAAATCGATCTCAAGATGTCTCGGACGAGGCCATGAGGTCTTGAGCCTATCATGGCCTCTTGAGGTCTTTCTTCTGAGGCTCTGAAGGACTTCCAAGAGCATCTCGCAACAGCTCCTGAATGAGAACAGAATTGAATGAACAAGAAAGGCAAACATATCGCTACTAGTAGCTTCTTGCTACTAGTAGCGATGGCCTCCACCCTAGTAGCGATGGCCTCAAAATGTTATATAAGTGTCCCTCAAAATCTAAGAACCAAATCATTCGTGTGAGCACTTCTTCAAGGAAGCCTTGAAGAAGCGTGAGCTATCCTGCGTCCTAATATATAGTATATCTAACTTAAGCTAGTGGCTACCTCTTCTACCTCTTCTAGTGGTCTAGCAGCCTACCCCTCCCCGGGCTGAAAATGAAAGAGAGCAGGGTAGCAAAATTGTCGTCCTCGTCATCTCTGTCAAAGCCTCGAGGGCCCACAGGCAGCACCACATCAAACCTGCGAGATCTCTGCTTGCAAAGGTTCTATATAGATAGAAAGAGAGAAATAAGAAAGGTCTAGAGGTCTCAAGCAGCAAGAAACTGGCGGGAAGCCATCGCCTGTAGGTTGGAGGCCATCGCTCGTAGGTTGGAGTGAATAAAGAAAAGTCAAAAGACCAAATGTCTCCGAGAAGCTGCTCCAAAACAGCTCGTGCAGCGCTCAATCGTCGGGCAGCCTTGGGACCATCCTCCAAATAGGCCCGACCACCTTGCCACTGAAACGCTGCAGTCGAGCCAATCATTGCAGCCATGACCACTCTAGGAATGCTTTTGGTTTCTTTATTGTGTTGCTTCGGTCTTTTGTTTGCACCTCTAGACCTCACTTTTCTCCTTTCAATACTCTCTTCCATTCATCCTTTTGGGTGTTACGAGGCCAAGAACATGGCCCCCATTATGGCCCATACTGCGCCCATTATGGCCCATACTGCGCCACACTACTCATTACATCTTGTCACAAGAATCTGTCAAATGCGTTGGAAACAAGAAACGGCTCTGCACTGCAAGAGTACTGAATACCCTCCCTGAAAGAATAATGGAAGTGGAATACAGCATGTTCGTGGTGGAAAACAGTCTTTCAGGGGCCATGTCCATGTTTGTTGGTTGGAGGCAAAGCGAACAACCGTCACACTAGGCGGAGCGAACACCGTCAGGATCATCCAATTCAGAGCCCTCGTCCCGCCTCCAGCACCCGCGAGGCTTCTAACTTGATAGTTGCTGGATATTCCCAGCCAAAGCTCCAGCCAAGTAGCCTCAGCTACGATGGCCTCCAACCTAGCGATGGCCTTCAACCTAGAAGCCATGACTACTGGAAGGTAACGCAAATCAAGCTAAGACGATGGATACGAAGCCAAATGAAACTCGTCCTAACGCTCTTCATCCCTCTCTTCTCCCACTGCCCTAACGCGTGCGTGACTTCTGGCATCAGTCCGGACCAACGCAAAGAACACAATGTGACCACCGGAATTAGTACAAGGAGCTGGCCAATGCATAGAGTTTGTGTCGTTCAACTTAAAGGGGCGATTCCGCGAGCGGCGCCAACCTCGCAGCTCGTGTCGAACTTCTTCGTAGCGCCACAGCGACTGGAATCGGTTCGGCAACAGTTCCTGCACTTCCTCGTTCCTGTCGCAAGCACGGATAAAACAGCATGCTTCAAAAACAGTGATGAACAGAATGCGTCCGAACATGTCCGTGTGAGAAACTGCATCTTTGGAGCCGTAAAGCCCCTTTGCAACGCATCTTCAAAGTTATCACAAACACCTCGCAAGACTAAACTGGTGTGTTTCGCTGCACGGGTTCCAGGTTCAAGGCCTGTGATTGCCGTAGACAAAACAAAAGAGACTCAAAGTGAAGAAGTCAATTTCGTGAAGCTGGTCATGTGAATTAAAATCAGGGGACAGGTCTGGCCTTCAGAACAAGTCTCGCAATCACAAAACTTCTATCTTGTGGGACCACCAGCCCAAACCTGAAATGTCCTGACAAAGAAGGTCTGGCCTCCAGTTTCTGATTCTGTGGCTAACTGATTCATGTCCATTCCATTTCCCTTTCAACTAAAGTTCCTTTCAATAATTAGTGCTAAACATAACTTCCTAGGCCGTACAACAACAAACCCCTAATTGAGCAGTGGATTGGTTCCTTGTCGACCCCGGATTGCAAAATGCAAATTCAACTCCAGAACTTTGCATCCACTCTAACCCCTTTAAATTATTACAGTAATTAGCAAGGTCCAAAACTAAACTTAACTTCAGCTGTGCACTATGTACTACTATGCCTCTCTCCCACACTTTTCGATTACCAACCTGCTGTGCAAATTCCTGCTCCGCAATGACAAACCATCTTTTTCGCCCCACTCCATTGCCGAGTTTCTACCGTAGACTTAGATGCCACATTTCATTCTTTTTCACTCACCGATGATGGATTGATCTTTTGGCTTTGCGCGTGCTATTCCAAGGTGTCAGTCTCTCTAATGAAATCAGCTTCAGCTACGGAGGTTTATTAAGTTAAGTAATGAGAGCAGTGATTGATAGGTATGCATGCTTGGTCTATGCCAAACAAGGCATGAAAAAAAACAGGTGACCAGCCTCTGCATTTCAACGGGCAAAGAGCCTCCTAAGTCACCACGAGGGTCCAAAGCAAATAGCACAACTAGGTAACGAACAAACGACAAATCCACGCTAGTAGGAACAAGTGCCACGCTAGTAGTAACAAGTGCCTAACTAGTAGTAACAAAGAAGCTATTTGTTTATTTTATTTTTAATATTCATAGCTTCTTTGTTACTACTAGTATGGCACTTGTCACTTGTTACTACTAGCGAGGCACTTGTTTCTAATATGGAAAAGAAAAGGTCTTCAACGTCGCTAGTTTTCTGACGTCCGAGTTCGAACGGTCCGAGTTCGAACGTTACAAACCTGACCTCCTCTCGTCAAGTTCGCAGCTCAGCGTCTGTAATACGAAAACAAGTGATGAAAATTGTGCAGTGTGCGCGAAATTGGCTCCCTCAGGGTCACCAGGTAGTGAAGATCATCACAGAGTGGCAAATCCAACCATCGCTCGACGGTGAACCATGTGAAATTCCATACCTGGCTTTCCCACAAGCGTTGTTCACCTCAGGCATGTGAAAGGCTTGTGGAAACAATCCCCAGTTACAATTCACAACAAACCATCTCGTG